TTGGCTACTGTTTTACAGGGTATGTGCCTCCTTCCGGCGTCCTGCGTTTTGTAGAAGAGCAGCGTAAACAAACTTGGCCGAACAGTGGTTATCGTCACGTGGTTTCGTCGGGATTTTGTAACATCGAGCTGTTCTTCGCCTGGTTCGTCCGTGTAGATGATAGTTCCTACAAAAGTGAGCGAGACAAAAGGCCTAGCCTTCAGGAGAGGACTGATCTTTATAATTAGAAGCCGACAAGAATCGAGATCTTGATAATTGAGTCGTGCTGTACTGCCGCGAATACCATATCTAAATTGATTGCAACTCGGTCGTCGAGGGCATCCCCGCTGGGCGTTCGAAAGTCTTTATTTGCCGAATTTTCCTTAGGTCTTCATTCTTTGATCGTTACTAGTCCGTTTTTAGGTTCTCTTGCTGTACACTATTGAACCGAAATAGATATGCCATAATGACTAAAGAGTACTTATCACACACAAACGCTCAAATTAATTAACAGGCAATGGTAAATTCGTGCTTAACAAGTTAATCAGCTACATAATAAGCCACTTTATACAAGGCCACGTATCTGACAATATTAGAAAGCAATAACGCCAGTACTGTGATTGAGTCGTTTTACAGATCTGAGATATTTGGCGGCACAGTTCATCGTCGGCGCTTGGTCGTTCTAGTCAGACCGCTTGAAGTTCACAGGATTTTTACAGACTGACCTCCAACTGACTCTACCCGCGCCACGATATATCATTCGCATCAACCGAGAATTCCAACGACAATAGAATTCTAGCGTATACGAATTCCAGCCAACTGCTTCAGGTATTGCGTTAATCATCTCTTCAGATGACAGGTCCCAGCACGAAGGCAAGTGTGTCTACGTCCAATTTCAGGTCCGGATCATTTTACGTATCTTTGTATTTAGTAGGCGAACCCATTATGGCACCACTGTTATGGGAACATTTGTATCCAGCCTAAGGTCTAAACGTCAGATCAGCAGAGGATAGCCGAATGTTCCGTCAATAACAATCACAATATCAACGCCACAGTAGCTATAGCTTGACTTACTTAATTTAGCGGGCGCACAGTAAATAAAAAATGTTCAAGTAAAAAAGACATTTTTCGTTTTTTTAAAATAGCCTCATACACTTTTTTGGCTACGCAAGTGTTATACTTTTACAAACGCTTTGCTAGTGCCGACTCATATATACCGCTTTGGGGCAAATGATCAGAGACACATAAACACGGCCCTAGCCGTTCGTGGATGTGTATGTAGGGGTTTCTGCACGTATGTCTAGTACCATAGTTTGTTTTTTCCTGTTTTTAGGGAGTACTCGTCAGAACCGCAGACCTTGCACTAAACTCGTTATAGCGTCGATTCGCTGATTCCATGTTTAACTTAGCAGCATTGATTTAGCTCGTACATACATCGACAATTTTGCTGTGGCACTTATTTTTTGCGCCAACGAGCCCGTTACATTGTATCAGTATCTTATGCTTCTGATGCCCAATTATAGACTGTTTGGATAATAATTAACCCAACTAGAATATTATAGTGATATTGTTGTTTATCTGAATCGGCCTATTCGTATGTTCGAATTAACCAGTACAATCGATCGTATTGCGTGTATCCGGCGACCTAACTAAGTGTATAAGCGCCCAGTATTACCGTTAAATATTGGTTTGGCGAAGAATAGATTATCTCAATTTAAGTATTTCTAGTATAAATTCATCTTCATAATATATATGTATATATATAAAATATATATATATAAAACATAATCGTTCTGGATTTGCATGCGATGCTAGCATAAAGCGTATTTAGCTTAGACGACATCTCAGATAAGGACCCCAATTTTTTCCACAGGAGTCGTCATTTTATCCTTTAATGGAAACCCGTTTTCCTATAAACTTATTATGTAGAGTTCAAAAACATCTATTTAACTAATATAAACCTTTCAGAAGTTCTAGACAATTGCCGAATAAGTTGTTATTATTCGTTTTTTGAAAAACCGTTCAGTTGTCCAGCTGTAGCGATCTCATGGCCTTGTGCCTGTTTTTTCCACAAACTAATCTGATCCATTGATACTATACGGCCTATATAATGTAAACTATGGTCTGAGTGTACGCCAACAGGTATTCCACTGGATTTCTACTTTTGTTTGGAAACAGTCCAGCAGTCTTGCTGCGGTTTTACTAGCCACGTTATTGACTCAATCGAAAGAAATTTATAAAAGCTCGGTTGGAATCTTGCACATTTGTAGTAATTTCACCGAAAGCGATATCGTACTAATTACGTTATCTCGTTACGACTAATACGTAACAGTATATTACCAGGTGTTTATGTCCCCACTACCTTTATACAGTTGCTCCGGGTAGCTTCCAGTTTCCGAATGTGACATTATTAAGTAACCATGCTTTTTCCGGTTCTTGTAACCTCGATGCGGTCTTATTTTTCTATTTTATTTAATTTGTTCGCAATTTTTACATCAGTCCGCTTTACAAATCACTATTTTCGCAAAAGTCGCCATTTTATTGTGTAACGTTATTTTTTTGTTCAAAAATCAAATTTTGTGCCAACTTTATACAAATTCAAAAGAAATAAATAATCGTTCCCAAAGTCATAATCGGTGTCCATTAAATGCTGCCCAAAAAAGCTGTGCTTAAATTAGGTTTCAGGCTGATAGGCAAACATAGACTATCGTACCGGAGGGGTTATATAGCTTTTATGGCTAATAAATACAAGAATGTACCGTTTGCTACAGTTTCTACGTCTCGAATGTATACAAACACTTGGCGATCAGCTCTATTTGCAACCACTGAGCTTTGACAGCGGCTCCAGCACCAACAACATCAATAGTAGGAAAACCATAAAAACAACATAAATTTATGATCAGATAACTCCACAGATCGCCGCCGCTACCCTTGTCAAAAATGGAAGCCCCTACCAACCTGCTGACTTCGTTTGAATCTTTAACCGACGAGAAGTTCTGCTGAGTTCATTTAAGGTCACTTGGTAACACCGTAAGATACCCCAGTCTCATTTTCAGCTTCATGAGGTCGAAGAAATTTTTCAAAGACCCTTGATTTCACGGTAGGGAATGTGTGGAAAAAAAACTCCTTTTTGGTTGATATAATTCATATGTTGTTTGGTTACTTGATTTGTAAACTGAGTTGCGCTATCTAAAATCAAGGCTTTAGAATTAGCTAGGCGGACGAGTATATCTTCTGGCGTCCGTGTTGTCAAAGAGGGTAAAGTCATATAAACCTACCTATAGTTAAAAACAATCGATGTTCCGAAACGTAAAACAATATATTTGTATACCAAAAGAAAATCCATTATGTAATTTAAAAAAAAAATCATTATGTAATCATAATTAGATAGCGTGGAATAGGCCTGCTGCACTTTGTTCCTGGAAAATGCTAATTAAGTATGCCAAGTAAGTTGACCGATATAATACCATAAAATGGGGCTATGCGGACCATTAACGATTTTGTGTAAAGAAGCCACTAATTCAGTTAAAATTGAATGAAAAATATTTTCATCCTAGATAGGACCGTGATTATATATATATATATATATATTTTCATTTACTGCTAAGTCAGCCATGCTGGACCTCATGATTGAGCTATTCTACGTAGGTTCACAAGAGCCTTGAATCTACAGTGTGCAGCCGGGTGCATACGGTTCTTCATAGTTATGCATAAATCCGCTACAAATAATTATTCATTGGATCGTGATTGTCGGCACTGTGGTGACAGTATTGTTCTATCTGATCTATAATTTACAAAGACAAGCATACATGTTGCTGACAACAACAGCGAGTGACGCAACAAAGTGGGTTGTACTTTGAGGTAACTTAGTTTTACCAGTTTCGCTTGTAAGAACAGCATCGATGGCATGCATCTTGTTTCATTTACGCTTACAATACAGTGACCCACATAGCCCTATGTTACCCCGGCCCACATAGTTACCAATGGTATGTTCTTATGAAACGTAAGATGCTTTCAGTTTGCCCTTGAAAATGTTGCGCTGGGACAGCTCTGAGACCTCCTTTGTCATTCAGAAAAGTTTGATACATGCGAAACAAGCACTAAACTGTCCCTCCTTTTAAAATTTGATCAGAAAAGTTCAGTATCCCAAATTCCACCAAATATTTGACCCGTGTATATCTGAAAAACTCAGATTCTAAATCAACATTTTCTTATTAGGAAATACAGAATATCTCATATAGACTCATTTATGTGCAAGTGTCTGTCATCTATTAGGTTGCCCAGTTTTTAGGCCATGTAAGGTAGGATAATGTCATCTTGGAGTATGCTGAATGCACTCGTCCTTATTTTTGCGCTTTAAAACCATGGGAAGCATTATGGGAGCTTCTCAACAACGTTTCGCTTGCGATTTGCATTATTGTAACATTTCGACATCGAAAGAATCAACAGTGCGCCGCGTTACGCCGCCTGCCACCCTAACTAAGCCATTCAAATACCTGAAATCACGCGAATTTCAACCTGAGAACGTGAAGGCTAAAAGCAAAGCTCGATTCTGTTCCCGTTTGTCCTAGCTGTGATGGAACGGTAATGATAAGATCCAGCGTTATTGCCAGATACCGTTGCAAAGGGTCTTAACGTATCTGGCGGCTTTTGCCGTATTCTTTTCGGCCAACATCTCACAATATAAAAATCCCTCAGATATTGATTACGAGCCAGCTCGAACGATATCATTGGATACTATACGCTTAGAAAAATTCCAAATTGAGCCGGTCGAAAGCGTCTCATGGTTTTGCTGAACTACTTTTCTCACACTAGATAACTAGATTCTCGATTGAGGTATGCTACGCTTTTTTGAAATGATCACCATTAGCAAACTATTGTTTCGGCGAAAATTGTTCGAACGTTTTCATCAAGAGTTGCTAGCGCCGTCACCTTCGATAAACAGAGAATTGCTCACTTTGTGGCATTATTCTCAGCATTAAACAATACCTGTGTCACTATCCGTTGTTCTTTAATGATACTCAACCAGTTCACACTCGTAGGTAGCCAAAACCTTCATGTGGATTACCAAGCGTTCCCTTCCAGAGGTCCGCCATTTTAAATCTATTCCATTTAAAAGAACGAAGACCTACGGCCAAGATAGGCTTCCTCGGTTAAACACGTCCTTCTAATGCTTCACATAAATTGACACAATGTTACCACTGGTTAACACATGATTCTTCATAAATCAATGTCGTCTGTTTAGCCGCAAGCGTAAAGTAGTAATAATGATTTGTTTATCTTCGATTGGTCTTGCAACTACTGTTCATCGCGAAGAAGATAATTTTTTTCTCGTTCTCGGTATGAATTAGAATGATAGGTAACATTTTCACAACATTTTATAGACGCACAGCTATTTTGGCTTGATTTTACCGTGAATCTCATTCAGGGCTAGAGTCACAACTTAACCAGACGAAAATGTATCAGCGTTACCAAAATCGGCCTGACGTCGTATCTTAGTCAGGGGGTAACCCGGGAAAGTGAAAAGCGCGCGAGTAACTTGAAGAACGACGATCTGAAATGTAAGCATCGAATGGCAGATGAAGAACTCGTTGAAAATCGCCTGCACCGCAGTAAGAGTCGATGATTTAATTAGAGGCGACAGTGACTAGGAAGTGTTTCGCGTGATTGCCGTAAGCAGTGACAGGTGATTTAGCAAAGCAGTCAATTTTCCACGGCTTATTCAATGGAAGTTTCGCTACTTCGATGAAGTTGAGCAACATATAATGTGATCCCACAGATTCACTTTGCAAGGCTATTTGTCTAAGGGACTCACTATAATCATTTGTCCCAGAAAAAGATGTATGTTCTCAGCTACTTTCGATTTTGTCAATCGTATACGAATTTGCGTATTCTTATTGTGCTACACCTATTATACGTATGGATAGTGGTCCGATGAACATGTTGGGACAAAAAAGGACTATACTACCAATAAGCTACAAGCCTTTAGCTTAGGCCATGTATTGTGTTAGACAGGCTTGAGAACCACACACCCGCTAAGAAAATCAGTTTCGTTGAATTTATCTTTTGAGACATTTATATATGCCTTGTTGTACGCTCAAGCATCGCTGCCACCATCCAGGTTCTGTCACTCCGTTCAAGAACCGGTTGTTTAATATTGGTCTAGCCATACACACGCGCTAATCGTAGCTAGGGGACGCATCAGCCAACCGCACACATTTTTTATTGGTGTTAATGATTTGGACCCACCGAGAGCCTTGACGAGGACTCTCAAAACCTTCTTAACCGAATCTTATCGAATACCGAGGGTGAATGATGAATCATGTTCCTGAGTACATTGTACTAACAGTATACGATTCTGGATGTTCTGCACTGGTGGAGTTTGTACAACAGTCTGCACAAAGTAAGAAGTTAACATGACGAAGGTGGCAATGTTTGAAAACTCGAGTAATTGACAATTTAACCTAACTAACTATCCGTCTTGATTGGCACGCGTAAATATCTATTCGTAACTATAATAAAACGGCCTTCTCTACTCAACCAGTATCTACATCGCTTTTCCACATAAGATATATAACTATTTGCGCAGCATCTGAACTAGCCTATTTTAATGACCTAGAAATTGTGGTCGTGCCTCATGTATGACATCATCAATATGGCGGCATGACCCGATAAATCGCACGCGATCAAGACTCGCATGATTCCCGTGCTGATATGAATTTCAGAGTTTTCTGCAATTTCCTGCGAATGGTTCTGGATTCCCGCATATTAACACATCAAAACAATACGTTATAGGAGCTCTCAGCGAGAACCTGCTTTGACACCGAAGTTAACGGGGAAAAGCCATAGCAAAAGAAATTATATCTCCATAGCCCTATTATTGGTAGAAGAAACTAAAACTTGTCGCACTAAACAACAAAAAGTACATAGTAAGTTTATCGAGTGTCATGGCACTCAAGGCTGCTACCACGATAATTGTAGGACTTCAATATATATGCAACACTTTTCACTACACAAAGATTTGCTTTTGCTACAGTGTATTGTAGTTTTGTCAGCTTTTCTACCAGGTTGTTGAAATGAAATCTGTTGATGGGCACCAGTGCTGTTGCTACAAGCGCGTTGGCCGGTATACAATTGTCAGGCATTGTGTTAAACAGGCATCTTTCATGCCGAGAGAACGATACCCTGACTAGCTAATGGTATATGTTTAGTGAATACTAGGAACTCTGTTTGTTGAACGTTAAGTAGATATCACGGCCTCTCACGATACGTACAGTTCGACGGAAAACTTAGATATAATAGAACAATTTTGCATTGCCGCATTTATACGAATATCCGCTTCGGCAAAATAAACACATTAAAATTTGATCATAATGAGTTATTAGATTGAAAGAAAATTCACCACCAATATCTATTTCCAACAAAAAAAAGAGGACTAACGTCTACGGATAGTGATTAACAGCCACAATACACCTTCACGATATGATACAGCAGCCCCTGTCTTCTCTCAATTTTCCCTCGCTTCTTTCGACTACACCTTTTTTCACAGCTTTCGCAGGTTTACCCACCTTCGGACCTTTACTTTTCACATGTTTTTTGCCCGGTGATACTAGGGCTTTCTTTTTTAATGAGGGTGTGTCCTCTTTCTTCTCTTCCGAACCTTTGGGTGCCGTTACGCCTTTCGTAATCGGCCCAAGCCCTTTCTGACCCTTAGGAATAACAGGAGGCGGAGCTGGAGGCGATTCCTTCGTACTTGCAGGCTCTATAAGTATTGCTTCTGCTGCTTCACCGGACTGGGATGAACTCTCCGTAGACACTTGGGGTGGTGAGTCAGGTGATGCCGTAATCGATTGATCGGAAGGTAACTCGTCGATGTGCGCCTTCAATGGCTGGATGAGTAATTCTGTCAGTTCAGTGGAAGCTGAAGTAGGCGATTGAGGTTGCTGTACCGACTCTATCGGTTTTGCTGGTTCGTCTAACGTTACCGGCTCCTTAGCTGGTACTTGCTCCGTTAGTACGACCTTCACCTGAGATGACGTTCCCAGTGCCGCAGGTACTGCCACCTTGGCCGACTTGGCCACCTTGGCCGACTTGGCCACCTTGGCCGACTTGGCCGACTTGGCAGACTTGGCCACCTTGGCAGACTTGGCCACCTTGGCAGACTTGGCCACCTTGGCAGACTTGGCCACCTTTACAACAGGCTTGTCCGACTTAGCTGCCGACCGCCTTGCGAATTTGATGATGAGCGATCGACGCACAGAGCGACGGACAGACCGCTTCGATTTCGGAGTCGTCTGTGGACTCTTATCCGGCGGTTCAAAAGAGGGTAACGGCGGAAAAATCGCCGGTAAGAGACATATTGAATAATCTCGAATTGGAAGCTTGTCATATGACTCACGCCGCATGGGTCTTATAGATTTTGTTTTTTTCTTAGGCTCAGATAGTTTTTTCTCCTCAGCAGGAGGCTGCTCACGTTTACTGACCTCCTCGTCTTCCGAACTATTTTTGGTTTCTACGGACAGTTTACTTGGTAGTACTGCTTTGGTTTCGACGACAAAATCAAAATCCTCCTTGTTCGGCGATGCCTTCGCAGACGCTTTTTTCTTTTTTTCTTTATTCGGCTTTCCTCCTGGCTTTTCCCCTGGGGCGCCGCCTCTTCGAAATCACGCGTACAGAATTGGTTATTACAAAGTTAAAGATGTATCTTTTTTTTTTTTTCTGAAAGTTGTCAACCCAATCAATGTACAAGTGCACAACTAAGATTGCAAGCTACGAATAGTTCACTTAAATTTAACTAAGCTCGTTTTCTATTTCGTTCAATTTTAATTGATCGACTTTTAATCGAACAAGTTGAAATCACTGAGTGGAATATCCGACTACTATCCGGATATGAAGGCATCAATGCCACATTACAATTATGCAGATGCGTGTGAGATCAGGCATCGCGGAACGTGCGAATTGTTGAGGTTGCAGGCGTGCTTCGTGTTTTCGATGTTTCTTCCTGCCGAGCCCATTTCCCCTGCACACAATACGCAATCGAACGTTCCCGCTCTTTCTGATAAGGGAAGCGTGCACCGATACTTATTACTAAGCATGTTTGTAAATAGCCAATTTTGTGTCATCTCCCTAAATTTCAGTTACCCCCACTATTGGTACTTGTGAAATACTTACGACAGATTTTTAACGTTATGATTCATGCGTGACACCGTTAGTCCAGTTCGCGTTTCAAACTATTGTCGGCATTACGAGTCGTTTAGTTATACGGGCTGATTATAATTGTTATTTCGAGCGACAAATCATCTGCCATGGACAGCTAGTAATATATTACTTAGGTAAAATTACCGTGATTCCATACTTTCCGTAATCAAGTGTCGATGCTTAAAACTATAGCCAAATTAAAAAATCACCATATTTATTGTTTTGAATTAGCGATTTTTTTAACTGTTATTATAAAAACAAATAGGGATACGTTACTAGCCTATAACTCATAAAATGGCGCAGCATTTTCCTTTTTTACTACCGCGCCGAGTTCCGTTTTCTTGCTCTGCGATTAGAAATGCTTCCGCTCCCATTGTGTTCGCAGCGCCTTTTTTTGCAGTATTTGTTATGTCGCCCTTCTTGAATCGTTCTCTTGGCTCCTCCGATGCTGGCGCATTGTCGTTTGATGCGGGTTCCTTAGCGGCTGGCAATGCAGGTGGCAGTGACACAGTGCATTTAGCTGGAGCCGCTTTCTCCTTAATCTCTTTCTTATTCGGTCTTTTTGTTTTTTCATCGGCCTTTGAGCCAACTCTTCCTCGAGGCCTGGCGGGTGCATCAACCTCGTCCGGATCTGAAGCATTGGATTCTGTTGATCCCGACGTATTCCGGGGTGTAAAAATAAAATCCTGGCCAGTTGTATTTTCTGGCCCCGAAAGGTCACTCAAGGATACGCCCACTGAGTTCGACTTATCCTGTGCCGGTGGCGGCATCGAAGCTTAAGTAGTTAAGTACAATGGTCGCGTTCTGACGCGCACACAAAGAACATCTAACAGCTTCGCCGAAATTTCATCTCAGCGCCCACGAAACCAATAGCCCCTACCGGGCCAAAACCGCGTCGTAAGGAGTCACTTTTTTGTTGCTACGAATGCTGCTAGCTTCACTTACAAGCAGATACGATACGTACCATGCTTTCTTATTAGGTCAACTTCCAAGATAACTAAATCAATTGAGATAAAAGAGTTTACTTCGGGGGCTGAGGGGGGGTGGTTGGGTGCCAATAATCGTACTACATCGTATGCAAAATTTCGTTGTTACAAATTACTAAATGGTAGGTACACCAGCACGATAAGGTAGAATCACTTGCTCGGTGCTCACAAGCGATTCAGAGTTACTGGCTGATGTAACATTGAAACGACTTTGAAGCCGTTGGTAAGGTATGGATTTGAAATGGATGTGGTTAACGCAGCAGAATCCGCAGTTATAATTAATGTCACAAAATAAAATTCGCGTCTACAGACCTTCCGATAAACTTCATGATCGCTGCTGTTGACAGATAAACGTACACCAGAAGCCAGTCTCCTACCGTGTATGATTTCGCTTGATATGCGGTAACCAATAAGGCTCTTCGACTGGCACGGATCTGCAAACTTTCACGAACTTTCATTAGTCAATGAATTAACTTTAAAAATGAAAAAAAAAATCGTAAAGCTGGTAACGAGACAGCTAAACTCTCCCTTGCCCAATCCAGCCTTAATCATCATGCTTGAGCGTAGCGGGACCAATGATTTCGTGAGTATAGACTCTATGCCAACAGTTGGAAACCAGCAGTGAATCAATGGTACAAGCCTTTTTGTGCGTTATGCAAATTTTACATTAGACTTACATTTTCTAACCTAGTGGTCATTTGATGAGCTGTAAGCCATGAGGCGAATCCCAGCCGTTGAGGACATCGGGTCAAAAGTCGCTTACTGAAGACGGTGACAAGGGCTCGTAATTAGTCACAAACTAGCAAATAGTTGACCTGAGCCTGGTGTGTCGTTCACGATATGCACATAGTCGATGCAAATAACAATATTAGGCCAGTTAGCCTTGTCCGGTTTCGCCGTGTCAAGGACAAGAGCTTGATACTAACACATCGTTGTTAAGACGTCGATTGTTTATAGCATTAAAAATCTAAAGGATTCTGCGAATGCATTGACTTTCCAAGGCGATCGGCGCACCAGAGGCGCCCCGTTGATCTGGTCTCATTTGGCCTGCAGTATCTGTAACAGAGATTCTTTGTGCACTTTTCAGACAATAGCAAGCAGCCATTTGCATTGAAAACAGTTCACTTACTGACTAATTACAAAATACACTTACCTATTTTACTGCAGTTCCGTCTGGAGGAAACTTAGTGTAGCAGTTCCCGCGATTCGAATGCCTGCACATCGTTCGCCCGCTACTTTACTCTGCCAGAAAGCAGTGGTTTTCGGCAGATTTCATAATGACTACGTCCACAGTATTTTACATAGTACCCCCTATCGGATTTTAGCCAGGCGGAGTGGCGTCACTTTCTCGCGCACAGAGTTATCAGCATGTCTCTATTATCCATGGGACATAGCCTTGGTGGAACGTTTCGTCACGAATTGTGAATCCGAGCTCGATCTAAGCGCCGATGTTGGCGCTTCGTATTGGATCCGCCTCGTTGGAATACTGGAAATAAATTGGAATATTACGCTTATCTATAACATTACCATTGCCGTTGCGATGACCCCTCCATGTAGTATGTATGGTAACAGTAGATCATTGAACTCTAGATAAAAGTCAACTAGCGATCTTAATATGATATAAATCACAGCATCACTTCAAGAAAAAACAAGTTTCCTTTGATAAGCCTCTTCAGTTCAAATAAATTAGGTCTTAAACCGTTTTTCAGGTAACGAAAAAGTGTCTATTAGGCAGGTTTCAATCAAACGAAGCTTGATTGCAGTTTAGTACTGGCATTATATTCGAATCGGTTTCCCCTCACCACAAGCAGGCCACCCTTACCTTAAAAGGCTTACTGTCACTAAGAGATTTCAGTCCAGGCAACTAAATCTTAACTAGATAGTTAGTTAATAGTTAATTTATAGCCGGCGGCTTAATCCCTATCACATAGCAGATAATTATCCAATTCTCATGTATAGAACCTCGTCGGAAACATAAGATACTCAGCGAACTCAAAACCAATCATGTACACCGTTCCTCGGAGCCTATTGGAGTATACTCTGGTACATTAACATTACTGTGTAGCTAAACTGTTGCATCCATTAATCAATTGCCAATTAAGAATGAATTTAATAATAATAATATGTATTCTGTCTTCAGCAAATGAAAAATGTAGCTTTAAAGGTTGTCTGTATAAAAAAATTTCCACCCCTTTGCTAGAACACCTTCCACGCCTGTTGTCTTTTCCATCGGGTGCTGGTAGAATAAGTGTAAAATGCTGAATGGAATAAGAAAGCCTATTCTGAATAGTGATTAACGCTTTCCACAATATTCCTCACACTGTAATTTGTTTGTTAGGCCAAACGCTCGTTAGGTTTCTTAAGTGTAAAACTTAAACAAAATACGATGAGGGCCTATATTAAATATTTTTTTAGAGTTTTTTTAGTTAGACGAATACTTATGTTGTGGTATATTTAGTTTGACAAAAAAAAAAATTTTCATTTTATTCCAGAAGAAAATAAAGCAGTATACGTTTTGCTGTTGGTTTTTAGTATTTAAACTAAGCCATTAGAATTTTTAGGGTTAGATTAGAATGTTTTCCTAATAGGCCATTTAGTACTTTTAGGAAAGATATACCAATCATCAGTGTCTTCAGGAATTTGAGATGCATACAAGGTCACCCAAACAACGGCAGAATGGACAAAACATGTTCCTTCCTCTGCGTATCCTATAGGTGTGGCAGTTTCACATTACCAAGCAGTTAATAGCGCTTTTAACTAGTCCATCAACCGTCTAAATGTGAACCATTAGACTGCCATTTTGCCGACACTTCTGCTCGAGACCTTTAGAACGACGCTGAACTAAATTACCAGAAAAAAACGGATGTACCGCTTACACAAGTAAAGGTCCAGAAGTCCCGGATGCGATAACCTGGCGTAGGCGTCTTATGGTCCTCACACAAACTTCAACGGTATCTAAAAATAAAAAAGTTGAAATTTTCCTTATACATAAACATATGATTTTGTCAATATAGGGACAATGTCACGATATAACCCTATGGATCCCTGTAAAATGTACAAGCACGATACACTTTCAAATGAAAATAACTCTTCTAGAAGCAAAATATCGTCAGTAACGAGAGGCTTTCTTTAGTGCAGCAAAACCGGCAAAAGCTGTCAAGGGTAACACTGCTACCCACACTGGTTGATACAAATAGTGAATCTTATAGCAGATTCAGATCAATAAATCACTACGAATTCTCACTGAAATCCCCGCTGTCTCTAACAGATGACTTCTTGATTCGGCTCTGTATTGTTCTCTATCTATAGGGTGAGGGTTTACTTCTCATCCATGTATTGCCATCTTAAACGGAAAACGCCAAAAAAGTTTAGCCCTAGGAGGTTTGAAGGTTTAGACCGGTAGTCCTATCGACAAAAGCCTTTTCCTATTTTATACAATTACGTATTTTATCGATGATCCCAGCGTTATCTCAGTGCCCTGGACTATAAACTATCATTAGACCCCATTTAATAAGCAATACTTTTAAAAATCTTGTATACAATATAGAAGCATAGTTTTTAGTGCAGATACTTCTTTTAGCAGGATTCTAAAGTTTAGTCTTTAGCAATATCAATTAATTGTCAAAGCACGACACGTGTCGTATCTGTTTTCAAAACAATGTAATGATAGTCAAACGGTGATCGCCTGGGAAATGGGATAGATGGCTAGGGTCTCGGGGCCGAAGATAAATCTTGATTAACACGTTAGAAATAAATGTTTTTGAGTGTTATTTCGTATGATTTCGAAATATATCCGATTCCACACCATATGTTTGAGAAATTCCCGAACCGACTTCAATTCGCAGGTATTTAACTTCTGCAGCCCGACTTAATGTCAGGTAGGGGGTGAAAGTATTCGCATTGATATAATGTTTTACCCTTTTAACAACGAAAATATTTGGTTTTTTTTATCATACCTCGTACAAGTTAACCCACAGAAACTGCTCAGTTTATATATATATATATAGCCGCGTAGGAAACTAACATACTGTCGAGTATAGTCGAAGATATCACTGGACCTACGGTAAATATCTGTATGCATTTGTTTCCTTCATGTGAAAGTTGCCACCTTGTGCTTCGTGGTAATAGTAGGTATTAGAACGCTATCGCTAGGGAAGTATTTTAAAGGACTACCGTGTAGGACAAAGCATTACTGGAACGCAGGGTGCCAGGGCTGCTTACCACAGTATATATAAACATTCGAGTTATTATGGTTTAGGGCTCGCATTTCTTGCGTTCATGGAGAGGCACAGATGATTCGAGATGCGGTACGGCAATTATTGTACTTTCATCTGTTCGGCGACAATGACGTTGTGACCACAGATCATTTTAAAGTGGAATTTTGTACTTTTGTAACCATATAGCAGCGGGTTCTGATGACCAGATTCGTACACGAAAAGCATTTACGAAGAGGAATTGCTGAGCGGATCGAAAGGTGTCTGTGTCATCAAGAAGAATAGGAAATAAAGATCGGAAACGCAGCGGAAAGAGGAGGGCCATTTTAGGTCGCCTCACGAAGAGAATGTTACGTAATGATTTTTCGTCTGCGAGTGCAGAAAAACGCGGAATATGTACGCTTATAATAAAGACCCTATGACGTTATGTAGATTTTAGTAGTCTCGACCGAAGCATGGATGTTTCAAACGGGCTAAACAATTCCAGAGCTAGACTAATAAAGAATGGTTTATCAGATAATTGCATTTTGAGATTATGTCGAAACACTCAACACGCCTGCCTAAGGGTGTTCCAATGAAAGATTCCTGACACAAGACCTGTGTAATCGAACATCCGAGCAAAGTAATAATGAAGGCTATACTTTCCATCTACGCACCGAAACTTAAGTTATGCATACCGGATTTAACACAGTAACTCAGACAAAAAATGCTGCAAGCTAGTTTCTGGGTGGTCACTCAGTGGTCGTACTACATGATAAGTCGTTGTGTCGTACGGCAGGGTATCCCTTTGAGCAGAGTTTATCACTAAAATTGTTCATCTTGTTATGGCTAGAAATTGACCCGATTTGGGTGCGATCGAAAATGTGCGGCATAACATTAGAGTGGAGGTTAGGGCCAAACAGAAAATCATGGCCATCTCACAACTCAAGAATAGGGTACCCTCAAGAATGAGATCAGGACCCTTTTCTACATATATAGCCTTCTACATATATAACGTTACTCAATAAAATAAGGTTATAATATGTATATATTAGTTACGTTTACAAGTGAAAAGAAAATCTATGGCAAGCGAGTAACTATCGTTCATGCATATTTTAGGCAGCGAATGATATCAGATGATCGCTGACATAGGCATTCGCTTTCTGTGTCCAAGGATGAGTCTGACTGGAAGGAAAACGAGGACCACGATCCTAATGGGGTCGTTCAGGCTATTGCCTTATCAGCACACCTGATATCGATTCGAAGGTTAATGCCAGACATGAGTTACTTAATGGTAACCGGATAGTTAGGCAAAGCTTTGTATAGTTACAATAGTGGTAATAATAATAATAATGGTCATCTATTGGGATTGGGTGTTGGCTGATATAATACATTTCTAATGAAACCATTATTAATCCTTGTTAACCTCAAAGATTTTTTAGGGTTTTTTTTTTTTTTTTTACTACACTAGTACGTACCAGTACGATATTTGGCATTTGATACTGGATAGTTCGGTCGGGATAGCCATATTATACAGAGGCTAAGAATTGCATGCATCCGTCTATGTAAACTGGACCACTTGAGACGGCAAACACATTTGCTTAACTAGAATTTCATCTCAATATGCTTTGTATGGTCGTTATGGTAAGATGCTATCTTGTTACGATGATTTTTTTTGATGCAGTGCTGCTCAGACGGAATTTATTGTTAAGATCCGTAGGTGCCTGTCCTGAACGAGTAGGACATCTCCTATTTATCCCCTTCAGATAGTGATCAAGCTTGTTAACTCACGTCAAAGTATCCGAATGTTTAGAATCAATGAACTAAGTTTCCTCCACCAGGCGACATTTTCTAACAATTATTTAATCTTAAATTACTGTCAAATTCAAAATGTTGCGATATACTCATTTGAGATACCCTGTCAATATCAGTTACGGAAACTATGTGTCATGCCGTCGAATGGCCTATTCTATCCTAAGCTTTTTTTGTCCGGCTTTCGGAGAATAGCTTCACAGTGGGCTTTTCTGTGTCAAAGTGGCCGTTGCAAT